ACAATCTGTTTCTAAGACATTATAATTTTACTGGTCTGGGTTTTTGAGAGTCTTTTGGAGGATCGTGCGGGATGTTGGCTTTTAGATTCAAAATGAATAAACGCTGAGTGAACCCTGTTTTGGAACAGTTATTTTCTTTTTATGCATAACATTGTATACTTGTGGGACGGAGCTCTTAGTTCACGGTACATTGGAACAGAGAGAGAGAAACCTCAGTTTCTTTATAACAGGCAATCGTTCTGATTAGTTATTTGCTGGTTTGAGTTTGTGAGGTTTGCTGGTTTGTGAGCAGACTGTCTCACTTTCTAGCGAAAGGGTAGAGAGAACTGTCCTGTTGGTCTTAATTTTCCTGGATTTATACAGAAGTCGGTAAGCGGTTGAGGAGGTGGTTCTTGTAGGATTGTTCTTCGCTTTGTACTGGACCTTTCATGTTTTGTTTTATTTATCCAATAATCTGGTTTCAAAAACGAATTAAAACGTCTTGTTAAGAATGCTGTTGTTATTATCAGTGAGGTTTTATGGGGATGAATTTTATTTCTTTATCATTATTTGGTCGAGCTATCTCGGACATTCACGAGTCTATTACGCCAACCATCACTGCTCTGCATCAAGGTCGGAAGATTCGTTAGGGTGGCATTCAGCGTCATAACACACCTGGTCAATATAGGTGGTTGCCAGACGACCAGCCCGTCTTGCGCCATGTCGATGTGTCCAGAGTAGTATATCACTCGCACGCTCTTGTTTTTGCCGCCAGCACTCTTCTGCTAAGTGCATTATGCGTTCATGTAAGACTAGAAATATCCAGCTCGGATTTAGTAGGATGTTGTCTCCAAGAGATGTTAATATAGCTCTCAGCATCTGTGTGTAGGTTCCATCAAGTTTAGACACTAGGGTTTCAGTTAATGTTCAGGCAGTGGAACCATACATTCAAACCGCCTCTACAGTGGCGTGAAAGAAGCTCCGCTTGAGGTGGTCTGCTAGATCAGATTTCCAGATTATATGTATTTTATTCAAGAATTTATTCCGCTTCCTGATCATGTATACCTAGGAAGCGAAATAAATTCTACTGAAAAGGACGTGAAAAGACGCATAGCTAAAGCCTAGGGCGCCTTGAATAACATGGATGTAATCTACCAAACAACCTCAAGCGGAGATTCTTTCACGCAACTGTAGAGGTATGTTAATGTATAGTACCACCACTTGGACATGGGAAGGTGGTGATAAGTAGGTGATACTTTCCGGGGTATTTAGGAAATAATTTTTATTTTATTTTATTTATTATAATTTGCCTACTATTACCGTATGTTCCGGCTTACAAGACGCTGCAGATTGGAAGACGCACCCTAATATTAAAATGAAATTTCTAAGAAAAAAATTCATTCTCATACAACAATACATTCACCATGCCTTCCTCACATAATGGCGTCACGTATTGTTTACATTAATCACTCGTCCGATTTTGTTTGTATAGCAATGACATACTAGTCAAGAGCAGAAAGTCTCCTGCCACTGCTAGTAAACAGAGCATGTTTAAGTTTGTGGCTCGGCTCCCGGAAGTTTTATAGTTTTGAAAATACTTGTAACAGTTAAGTACTGAGATTACATCATATAAAAGGATGAATTGGGCACATCGAGGTCGTGTAATGGCTAGCATGCTTGTCTAGCTAGAACAAATAGGATTGAGTAGTGAGTTCGATCCTCACTGGGTACCCCCTACTTTCGGCCTTGTGCCACATCTAAGCTACGCTTGGAAAATCGCTATAAAAAGATGAATTTGATAGATAGCTAACATTAGTGTAATGGCTCAACATACAAATCCATGTCCCTATCAGTTAAACCAATTAGGTGACCGTCCAAGCTTACTTGAGTCTGGACGTTGCTTTACATTCGTATTTTTCAGGTCATTTTTTTAGGAAAAAAAGTGCGTCTTGTGAGACGAAAAATACGGTCTTTATTTATTAAAATTTGCCTAAGATTTTCGGCAATTTTCGAACGTTCGCGAACTCAATGATATTAGGGCAAAAAAGGACATTATGTGATTCAGGTGAGCGCGTACGTGTTCGTGTATGTGTGTGCGTGTGTATATTTGTGTGTATATATGTTTGTTTGTCTGGTGGGGGTGGCTGTACGTACGCGTGTGTTTACAACTAAGAACAGCTACCTCGCATAAAACTGTGTAAACGTAACATTCGAATGGAAAGACAACGTCTAGGCCGATAGCTTCTCATCTAGACGACGAAATGAATTTTTCAAATTCGTTTTACTTACCTTCCAGATACTGAATGCAGTCGGAATTCTTGCTGTAATTATGCGGATAGTTTGGACTGTAGAATTCCATGAGATTCCGGTTACCATAAGTAAAGTTCCAGCAACCCGGGCTGATATAGTCTGACGTCAGCGGAGGCGGTCGAAATACGACGGGTGTCGTGTCATGATCATCTGTAAGAAAACGCATTTAGTTAATTCTGATTGCCTTATCTGACTATATTATACTTTGAAACCGCTTATTATTAAAGAAATATTTAACTTAATAAATAAATTAATACAATTTCGAATACGAAACGCTGAAACGTGATAGAAAACCGCCATGATAACCAAATGTGAAAAACATCAGACATCTTCGGGCATGGCGAGATATAGGTATTGGTTATACGTTACTTTCATCGAGTGGTCATGAGTTCAATCCCTGGATCAAGTAGTGAAACACTGCTCCAAGAGGAATGAGCAAGGTGATATTTAGCTACCCCCCATGAGGGTTACATGTGGCACAAGGCCGGGTTTAACGTGGGATCTCCGAGCCCGTAGGCTCGGCCAAAAATATTCCCTCTTTGAACCCGCATAAACGGGTTCAGGGCAGTCAACCACCCCGAACGAAAGAAACCCTTCAGCGGGGGATATTTTAAAAAGTTCCTCTCCGCCCGAAGGCAGAGAGTTAGAATGTTTTTAAATTAGCCAAGTTGGAGGAATGAGCAAATTTATAAACAATGATTATGGGACATCCTTTGTATATATTAGACATTTTCAGCACGCCTCTTACACACACACACACACACACACACGCACAAAAACATAAACACACGCATTAAAATATTACATTTTTATATATATATATATATATATATATATATATATATATATATATATATATATAATAAATAATCTTATAAATAAAAGCAGCTATACTCGCCTGACAAAACCTTAGATGTTTACGCTTGTAAATGAACAAATCAATACCCAAAGGAAAGAAAAGGGTAAAAAAAAAGAAAGAACTAAGAACATTTACTTCCGGCGAAAATAATCGTCTAGAATCTAAGTTCAGAGTCCAAAGAAAAAACCTCCGATACGAGTAAAGTAAAAATAACTAAGCAAAGTGCTCAATATGCTAAGTAGAGCAAACTAATTAAACCTAAAGAGCCAGACTAACCTACCTAGGTTTCACCTACGCGGATCGTCAGGGCGAAGTGGCTAAAGAGGTGCTAAAAGAACAGAAAATATATAGCCTACAACACAAAAATATGACCATGTGACAACACCCCCCCCCAAAAAAAAATGTATTACTGTTACGTTCCTTTTCTTTTTTTGGGGGGTTGTCACATTTTTTTTGTCTGGGTCTTTAGGTTTACTTATATATATATATATATATATATATATATATATATATATATAGAGAGAGAGAGAGAGAGAGAGAGAGTCCATAAAAAACTGTATTCAAACTTCAGAAAAGAAAAAACTTGTAAAGGGTGTTCAAATAACTTGGACCGATTTCAAATGTGAATTAATTTTAAGCGTCTAATGATTTTCTTTCTTTTTCTTTCAGATTTGGCGGGCATTTGGGCGATATTACTTTTCACACATCATTACCCTAACTTAAATAATATGATCCAACAGAGAAATAAATTTTCACCACTAACAGTGATTTATTTACTTTGATCAAAAAGAAACACCCTTATATATAATCCGTCTTAATGAAACACCCTTTATTTCGTAGTTTTATGAAATTGCGATAACACTGTGTACTCTAGTACACTATTTTTTCGGCAGATGGCATTACATTGGCGGACCTTATACAAGAAATTGTAAATGCATATGAAGTAACCCCACAGGACACTTTGGCCAATGTGGCCCAAGCAGTAGTTCGCCGTAGCAATAAATGTCTGGAAACTAAAGGCCACCATTTTGAGCATCTCTTGTTAATGTAGTGTCCAAAGATAACTTGTATTAATCTTGTGATACTTGAATAAATTTAGTATTACAATATCTATACAAGTTTTTCCTTTCCTGAAGTGTGTATACATTTTTGGCGAGCTGTATCGTTGAGTGTATACGTGCATGCGTAAAAGGTGTTTTATATCTACGTATGTATACACGAACAGACATAACAAGATTTTTTATTTATTTATACATATAAAATGGCAATTAATTATATATATATATATATATATATATACCATTTTTTTTCGTTTCATTTTTTGGAAGTGCTATCTGATGATCCAGCGTCCTTTAAAAGGGCTCTGGTGAAATAAATTATTATAACGGAACCTAAAAATGGTCTGTTTTTTTTTAATATATATATATATATATATATATATATATATATATATATATATATAAAAGTAATTTATCGAGTCTATAAGAAACCTCAACAGAATGCAAAAAGCACTGGACGGCCGTTTCGTACTATATTTGGGACTCATCAGCAGTGCGCATCCACTACTGAGAATTGAAACTCGGACAGTTACGATATGAGGCAAACGCCTCATATGTGATGCTTGGTAAAAAAAAAAAAAACCTGCGAGTTGAGATACTTCGCCAATTCAGAGTTGATTAGAGCTTCTTGTCGTTACGTAGAACGATTCTATTCTCAACAAGGCTCTCTCCTTTGAAGGTCTACAGGTTCACGTTTCACTAAAGACCTCAAGCGAAACCTATATACAATCCATTGCCGAAGATACTAAGAAAATGATCGACTTATTCTATAGCCCCAGTTTGGCTTACAGACACATCACCAGTTCCCGTATGATCACCGAAGTTAAGCAACGTCGAGCCTGGTTAGATGGGTGCCTGCTTGGGAATACCAGGTGATGTAAGCTTGGATATGCTCAGAATTGTTAATCGGAGAGCTAATTCCCGCTGGGTTTGTTATATTCACTTACCCGCAAATACCATTGGGAAAGGTATGAATCCACGTTTTCTGTCCGAAGCTATGAGTTAATTAGTAAGACTTGTATCACTAACTCATTAGTATTCTCCACCAAATTCTTATAATCTACAAATATTTATGGCTTTAAATAACCCGCAAATTGATGATAAGCAGTAGAAAACAAATCACTCAATCAATCTATCGTCCCAAGAAGTACCTGACTCATTCTGCCTGATTTTACATTTGCAAGAGTCTGATTAAAATATAAATGAAGATTTGGTGTAATATCCGGACTGGAACTATGGAATAATCACTTTCCAATCGTGTCAGAGCACAAAATTATCCACGCGGTCTTGTGATGAGTCTGCCGTCTGTTTTGCGCTGACGCGAAGCCAATCGCCACACGGTCGCTATTTTCATGCCTAATGTTCAAATGGGTTCCTTTTTTTTAGTTCCACCAATTCAGATATTTACAGCTAGGAGGCGCCATGCTATTTCCATAGAACCGAGTCCCTCTTATTTCCCCCAGTATCTGTCTATATTTCAGTTCGACATTCCAACCACCTGAAGAAGGCCGGAGCGTACAACGGCCGAAACGTTGTAATAAATATGACGACAAAATGAGGACAATAGCCCGAATAATGTAAATAATGTACTAGATTCCTCCGTATCCCAAAATGTAAAGAGAAAATTCCACTCAGACTGTTTTTTCTCGAGAACTGCTAATTTGCTGAACAGACTCCCGCGTGGATGCTCTCCCAAACACTGTGACCATAGCGTTTTAAATTCAAGCGAATTTTATTATCTGTCTTTGATATAGAACATAAATGAATGGAATCGTCCTTTTATGTAAATAAGTGGAGTTAGCATTAGGTCTTAACCGCGCGCTAAGCTCTTAGTGTTTGTCGAACTCTCTACCTCCGAGCGGAGAGGAACCCAGACGAAGCTATGCCAATGGGCCGAGTCTCGTCTAGGATGGTAGACAGCTACCCGACCCCGTGTATGTGAGGTCTATGGGCAAATTTTGTACGTGCTTACGGCCTCGGATACACCCACATTAAAGCGGCCTTGTTCCACATTCCGCTCTGTAGGTTTCTCGGGTAAATACCGAGTTAGGATTAGGTCTTAGCCACGCGCTAACCTCTTACTGCTTATCGAGCTCTCTGCCTTCGGAGAGGCTCTGCGAAAGGGCAAACTCGACCCCGTTATTAGGAGATCTACAGGGAATTTTTGCCCGGGACTACGGGCTCGAAAATAAACCATATTAAACCGGCCTTGTGTCACATCCCGCTTTAGTGAGGAGCTTGGGAATCGTCCGTGTATATAAATAACTGGAATTGAGCCTTAGGTCTTAGCCACGCGTTAAGCTCTTAATGCTTGTTGAACTCTCTTGTATCCGGGCGGAGACGAAGCCAGACGAGGCTATGCTTAAGAGCAGAGTCTCGCCCGGGGAGGTAAACAAACTCGAGCCCGTTATTTCTGGGTCTACGGGGAATTTTGACGAAAAAACGAAGTACAACAGTTACGACGTCTATCCGATTACAACAGTTTGCGATGAACAATTCAAAATAACACCATCGTAGATTCCCTCACAACTTATCCTTTCCATTATATTACACACTTAATTTATCACAACGGACAGTAGATCCCGAACCGTTTATTTAGTACAGTAAAAAGGACGTCATCAGCTAAAGTTGTTACCCTCATTGGCAATTCTTACAGGGACCCAAAAATGTGGGTTAATTTTTACGAGTGCACATTGGCATGCTACTGTTGTTCCCGGTGAGTGTTTTGGCGAATGTGGAATTATATTTTGGGCGATTTAGTTTTCTTTGCCACTTCTCTCCCTCTGGCCGCGTGTAAAAGCAATCACTTTTCTTCGGGATGGTGTTTTGTTTTATCGCTCATTCTCTCGTTCTCTCTTTTCTTTTCTTTTTTCTAAGATGCTGACTTTGCAAATGTCAGTCACTCTTCATTAATAGACGAAGCTGGTTCAGTCCTGACATAAGCACTTATCCTCGCCTTTTCACCTAAATAGGAAATGTTTGCGTACATAGTGGGAAATGAACAAACCTATTTATCTATCTCTCTATGTCAGTCTGTTCCTATCTATCTATCTATCTATCTATCTATCTATCTATCTATCCCTTTTCCTTTGTTCATATCTATTTATCTATCTATCTCTTTTTCTTTGTTCATATCTATCTATCTATCTATCTATCTCTTTTCCTTTGTTCATATCTATCTATCTATCTATCTATCTATCTATCTATCTATCTATCCCTTTTCCTTTGTTCATATCTATCTATCTATCTATCTATCTATCTATCTATCTCTTTCCCTTTGTTCATATCTATCTATACCTTTTCCTTTGTTCATATCTATCTATCTATCCCTTTACCTTTGTTCATATCTATCTATCTATCTATCTATCTATCTATCTATCTATTTATCTATCACTTTTCCTTTGTTCATATCTATCTATACCTTTTCCTTTGTTCATATCTATCTATCTATCTATCTATCTATCCCCCTTTGTTCATATCTATCTATGTATCTATCCCTTTACCTTTGTTCATATCTATCTATCTATCTCTTTTCCTTTCTTCATATCTGTCTATACATTTTCCTTTGTTCATATCTATCTATCTATCTCAGTTTATTTATATCTATCTATGTATCTATCTGTCTATACCTTTTCCTTTTTTATTCTGTTAAATGTCTATCTATCGCTTTTTGTTAATTATCTATCTACCTATCTATCTATTTCATTCTGTTATCTATCTATCAATATATATATATATATGTGTGTGTGTGTGTGTGTGTGTGTGTGTATTTGTCAGCCTGTTGTTATCTATCTCAGTCTATTCCTATCTACGTACATATTCATGTCTGTACGCCTCTTTGGCTCTCAGCCTATCTCAGTATCTTTATACACTAATTTTACCTATATTTATAGTTACACACGCACATGTGTGTGTATGTTTGTGTGTTTGTGCATGTTTGTGTGTGTATAATTTAGATCTGATTCGTTATATGGGGGGGGGCTTTAAATGTTTGATCACACTCTCTTGATATCTGTCTCAGTGTATATCTGTACACGTAAAAGTACAGAAATATAAATAGAGATACATACATATACACACACGCAAACACACACACATATAGACAGGGTGTATAAAAATACTTTTATAAAATTTGGGGGCGCGGATTCCTCACACCAAAACAAGGAATCGCAATTCCTTCAGAATAGGGAGTAAAATACAGACAACATTTTAATATTAACAAAAGCACGATGCAAATTTTTACTTAATTTTTCTTGCGTCCATATATATATATATATATATATATTTTCTGGACATAAAATATGTAAAAATTGTTCGAATATTCTTCCTGTCCGAACGCTTTCGGCTATTCTTTTACCCGTTATTAAGGATATTTTTTATTTGTTATCTGAACATATAGATTTTATATGGATACATCTAGAGTTATGTTTTTTTTTTTAATTTTCCAAACACGGTCAGCACATTGTGGACGTGTTCATAATGTTAGTGAGAGTATATGTGTATTGTTTTGTAATGTTATTCACATGTGGATTATGATTTTTACGTGTTTTTTTACGTTGGAAATAAAAGAACATCAGATGCGCTTTTATCATTTGATTCTTTTTTTCTTATTTCTAGAAAGGAAAATCGCCGTACAAACAGCAAAATAAATATGTGCCATTTATGGAGATGGTACTATAGCTGAGAGTGTTGTTCGTAAATAGTCCGCTTGGTTTAGAAGTGGGAGGTACGGTGGAGTAATGGATTGCGGTTTAGATTGAGGAATCGGAGAGCCGAGTTCGAATTCACTAGATTCAATTAAGTCTTAATATCGTTGGCAAATGTATAAATCCATCTTTTCTCTCCGCAGCTGCGGATAAATAGCAGGACAGACTGGGTTCTATAGCCTTGGATGGTAACCGGCCTAGGAGAAGGAAAACTCTGAATTCAAAATTATGTAGCCCTGGCGATACACATACTATGCAGGTTAGGAAAGGATTGTTCGCATTGACTTGATGATCCCGACTACGGTCGACTCATTTTAGAAGGAAACATTTTCATCTGGAAGATCAAAATCTAGGTCACACGATACGGGACATCGCAGAGATACTCCACATAACTCATCGGAAACGTGAATCGCTACTATGTTTAAATGTCTCGTGATTTAACGGGAAAAGATATTTAATGTACCGCATTTCCATCTGAGACTCCCTACTCAAACCTAATAAAGAAACAATAACCCATTTTTGAAAGGAACGACCACAGGTGATGAAAAGTGGATCGTTTACAACAATGGGAAGTTCTTAAGAAGGTAACTGAACCTTACTTTATCCAGTAGAATTCATTTCGTTCACTTACGGGTACATGCCATGCGCCCGAGAGGTTAGAACGTTCAGGTTCGAATCTAACTATCGTCGACTTCAGAGGGTGGCGATTCTAGCTTGCAGCCCCTTTAGAAAGTGCCTGGAAAAGCATACCACGAATTGACGCAAGTCTTTAGTGAGTAAAATTGGTTAGACGGAACTCGTTGAGAGTTGTACTGCATCGTGACCGTGTGTTTGAGCGCGCTGGCCTTGATCAGACTGTTGATCAGGCTAGATTACTCAGAACTGTAACTAAGGTCTGCTCAGCATAGTTGCAGTATAAACCACAGGTGGGCTCTGTGGGTGTTGGAAAACCACAAATGTGCCTGTGCAGACTTCTGCAACACGGAATGCCTAGCCGACTTATAAGACAGGCGTCCTCGGATACGAGTGGCTAGTCATTATAATACCCTTGGGAAAGGTATGAATCCATCTCTTCTCGAAAAGCTACGGACAAATAGCAGGACAGACTGGGTGGATACCGGTCTAGCAGAAGGACAACTCTGAAATCCGATCAACGACTGCAGGTGGATTCCACGTGGTGCCTCTTCGGCCCTGATGAGTTACGGCACTTGGTGAATATTTTGAGAATATAAAAAAGTTAAACAATCTCAATCTTCTCGACACCAGAGGACTTTGAGTCGTCATCTATATAATAAATGCGATTGTCAGTGTGTCACTGTGTCACACTTTTTCAACTTGACACCTAGACGCTGTAGCACAACATATCATACCATTTTGGAATCAGGCTGACTCTGTTAGTAAATTAAAACCATTCCAGGCCTCATCCTGCCCGTAATACTGAAATTATGGATTCCCAAGTTTTTATTATTTTGATTTTTTTCGGTTTTATAACCTGGAAATCATTGGCACCTCGGCGTGGCGTAATGGTCAGCAAGCTTTTCTCGCTAGGACAATTACGACTGAGTAATGAGTTCGATCCTCATTGGGTGCCCCATACCTTCGGACATGTGCCACATCTAAGCTACACTTAGAAAATCAATATAACCTGGAAAATACTAATGATAAAAAAGCAATTAAAGGGACACAACTCTGTAACTTTCAATAGCTCATGTTCAAATGAAATAATTACTGCTCATATATAATGCGATTGTCAGTGTGTCACACTTTTTCAACTTTACTCCCAGAGGCCATAGCCCAACATATCATACCATTTTGGAATCAGTCTGACCCCGTGAGCAAATTAAAAACATTCTCGGCCGGATCCGGACCCGTACTTCTGAAATTTGGGATTCCGAAGTTTTCATTACTGTGATAGTTTTCGGTGATTTTTGTACGTGATTTTTTGCAACGAACTTTTTTGTACGATAACAATTTTGACAACTTTGAAATAAATTTGGGAATAAAATTTGAGAAAAAGTATTAAAATCACCCATGAAATAAAAATAATTGTTTGTATGGAAAGTAAGGACCTACGTACATCAAAATGTCTTTAAATTAAGTGGAAACAAAAGAATTATCGCTACAGAGCATAAATATTATAAATTTACTAATTTAGAAATATGGTTTCATATATATATATATATATATATATATAGTACAGGTAATAAATCCCTTGGTATATAATCGAATTTCATCCGAGTAATATAAAATATTAAAACTGATCCACAAAAAGAGCCCTCTGTACACCAGGGTTGAATCAATATTTAATTCCATTATTATTAAAGATTATATACCAAGGGATTTATTACCTGTATTATAGTTAATGAAGTTGTTTGGTAATCTATATGGATAGTTCCTGTTTTTGAAACATGGTAATTCCTGTGTAGCGATGCAACCATATTTTTAAATTAGTAAATATATATATATATATATATATATATATACAGGGTGTCTATAAAGCTTGTGTGCACTTTAACAAATTTATAACTTTATTAGTATTTGCGATAGAAATAATCTGTAAAACATGTTATAAATTTTAATGTACCTAGTTTTAAGTATAGCTAAAATAACTAATGTAATTTCAGGCATTACTGTAAATCAGTTGGCAAATGTTTTCAGTGAACTGCAAAATCGTATTACCCTTTGTATTGCTAATGATGGAGGACATGTAGAAACCTAAATAAAATTTCCATAAAACCGTAAAAAATATAGATTTTACTTCTTTCTAATCTTTTTTACAAATTGTTTCTATCGTCAATACAAATAAAATTATGAATCTTTTAAAGTGCATACGAACTTTATGGACACCCAGTATATATATATATATATATATGTGCGTGTGTGTGTGTGTGTGTGTGTGTGTGTGTGTGTGTGTGTGTGTGTGTGTGTCGTGTAATTTTTTGACATCGAATGATAAGGAGAAGACTTTCAATTTCCATTCATCTAACCAAGACAACTTTAATGGGGAATCATGGATATAGGCCAGTTTCAAATATTTATTCAATCCCGGTGTACAGAGGGCTCTTTTCGTGGATCAGTTTTAATATATAATATTATTAGGATGCACTTATATATATATATACATATATAATTATAATTATAATTATTTAAAAAAAATATGATTCCATCGCGACAAAGAAATTACTATATTTCGAAACTGGTCATCAGTATTCAAGTTTAATTCAATATTAAAACTTAAATCTTGGATGACAGTTTCATCTTCACACGATGTTTGGAATAACTAAGCAACGAATTGTTTTACTTATTTATAGTTTTGTAACATCGTAATTTCTGTGTCGTGATGGAATCATATTTTTAAAAAGTAATTATAATTTAGGCTCCCCTTCTGTATCGAGCACTGTTTTTTAAAAATAAAAACAAAAATACTAAAGAACTAAGGATCATCAATCTAACAGTTCTTTCCACCTATATCAATACACACACACACACACACACACACACACATATATATATATATATATATATATATATATATATATTGTTTCTTGTGTGTGTGTTTTGCATATATGAATATGTGTGCGTTTGTCTTCGTAATCGTATTCTGGGAGTTGTACGTTAAATTGTCTGCTTCAGAGAAATCTGTGTAAAAAATACATAGATGCGTATAATTAAACCCAGATTCGTGTAAGTTTAAATTTTTCCGTAATTTAACATAAACATTATAGTGTTTCAGCGTTTTTCGACGCCAGATGGCGTTGACGGCACCCAATGATTAATTGCTTTCTGTAATTAGAGGAGTCTCTTTGAAAACTTTCAAATAAATAATAGAAGAAAATTTAGCAAGCCATTTTGTTCTTCGAGTCAATAATTTGCATAAGAATTTATGGGCACATCTTGTATTACAGAGAACTTGGCTTCATAACGTATAAAACAAGGTATGGGGATAGATACATATAGACATAATCGTACAT